CCTCAATAGGCACATCCTCATGCACCAGAACAAGGACAAGGAGTCTGCGGGGACACATGCCACGCTCAAGTTCAACCCTGATGGTACGGTACACAATTTCACCTATGATCCTACTCTACATAGAGAAGGAATTTGTTGTTTAATTGCTTCTAATGATTTGCCATTAGGTTTCGGTGATTCTGAAAGTTTCATCGAATACATTCAGACTGTTCATACTCCTAGTTTCAAACCAGTTTCTAGACAAACTACAACTAGGGATATGAAAAAATTATGCAAAACTATTCTTCAGACAATAAAAGATGATTTTACTACGTGCACTTTTTCTGTCGCTTCAACATCTGATATCTGGAGTGGTCGGGCAAAGCAAGACTACATTAGTGTGGTCGCTCTTTATGTTAACAAAAAATGGGAACTGCAAAAAAGAATTATAGGGTTCAAATTAATTGACAAAGCACATACTGGTGAAAACATAGCTCGGGTTATACTTAATGTTGTGTCAGCATTTGGTCTGAGCGACAGGATATTTGCAGTAACTTTGGATAATGCTTCATCAAATACAACTGCAATGGAGAGCCTCAGTCCTCTATTTTCCGTATATGCTGCATCTTTTTTACTGCATCAACGTTGTGCTTGCCATATAATTAATTTTATTGCTAAATGTACTATTAAGAGATGTGAGAGACCCATTGAGATTTTACGTAATGCAATTTCTTATCTTGGTAACTCTAATCAACGAATTACTAGTTACAGGATATATTGGATAGCAATAGAAAAAAACTCCGCATAAGTATAATCTAGACATGCCTGTTAGATGGAACTCTACATATATGATGCTTAAGGCAGTCATCCAAGACGAAGTACAATTCTCGGGATGGATTAATGCAAATATGGGGAGAGAATATATCACTGATGATACTTGGGAAGTTGCTAAAGATTTGCTCAAGTTTTTAGAAATATTTTATGATGCAACAGTTTCTTTGTCTGGAGTTTACTATCCCACATCTCCTTTAATGATGCTTATGGTTATG